AGATTTAGGGTTTAGGCGGGGCTGCATGTGTTGTGATGGGAGGTTGTACTCTAAACCCTCAACCCGAAAGCATAAGCCCTGAAAACCCTTGGGTCCAAAAACAGCTCGTCGCATGTTGCGCAGGCTCCCTTGTAGAGGGCCGTGTGTGCTTCGCAGATACAGCTCGGAGTGCCGGAAAGATTGGAGATGATCCTTCCGGTTTATGGGGCTTTAAGGCTTAGGGCTTAGGGTTTAGGGTTTAGGGTTTGGGGCTTTAAGGCTTTGGGCTTAGGGTTTAGGGTTTAGGGGTAAGGGCCTTTAGGGTTTCAAAAACTAAGGAATGGCTCGGCATGGATCCTTCAAGTAAGTCAGCAGGTGCAGGCTACAGACGACAAAACACTGAAAAAAGAAGTGGTGAGATCCCAACACCATGAACCCTAAACCCCAAGGGCTTAAACCCTAAGCCCTACAGTAAACCCGAAACCCTTAAACCCTAAACCCCACAGTAAACCCTAAACCCTGAAAGTCCAGACCCTGACATTCGCAGCTCCCTCCATGTTAGGTTGGGATGCTAATGTTCGAGCATCTCGGATATTGTACCCTAAACCCCCAAACCCAAACCTGAAACCGTATAATGGTTTAGGGTTTAGATTTTGCATGGGTTGGGTTTAGGTCTGAACCCTAAACCTAGAGTTCAGGACCAGAAGAGGGTTTCTGTGCCTCACGTCCCAGTCCCATTTGAAGGAGGGTTTGCGCCCCTGTGGCTGGCATCATACCTTGACCCTATTATACTCTCTCTCTCTCTCTACATATATATATATATATATATGTATGTATGTATGTATGTATGTATGTATGTATGTATGTATGTATGTATGTATCTGTAGATGTATACATACATGTATACATATATATATATATATGTGTGTGTGTATATGTAAACGTTTATGCACATGTGTCACATGTATGTGCATATGTGTAGCGTGCACATGTATGCAATGTATGCATGTATGTATGTATGTATGCATGTATGGATGTACATATGTATGGACGTATGTATGCATGCATGGATGTATGCATGTGTGTAATTATGTATGTACATATGTATGTATGCATGTATGTATGTATGTATGTATGTATGAATGTATGTATGTTGAGCATGTATGAGTATGCATTAGTATGCATGAGTATGTATGCACATGTGTATATGTATCTCTATCTACATATATATATATATATATATCTGTGTGTGCTCGTCTGAATATACACACATATCTACATATGCAGTCTCTGCCATTATCAAGATACACATACAGTTGCCAGTTGTTCTACATAACCTATAAATACATATGCATACACACATCAAATACTTACACAAATGCACAAATGTATACATGCATGCCCGCCCGAACTCATCACTTACACTGGCATATAAAACCACATAGCCAGATGGATACGGTGCGTGTTCGCATGTTTGTGCATATGGAAGTGAAAAGACGTACATGTTTGTATGTCTGGCTATGACATATGTAGCCAACAGATACGTAGATACATAAATGTGTAGTGTGTACACAAGTGTGTACACATCCATACACAAACATATCTCATATATATATATATACATATATATTAATAGGTGCATACATATATATATATATATATATATATATATGTATATCACTTATATAGGCAAATGCATATACTACGCAAGATGTAGCCCACCTATCGATCTATCTACCTTGTTTTTAAAACACAAAAGCATACTGCCGTCCTGCCCTCGCTGCAAAAGCAACTGTCCACGGAGCTGGCGCCTGACTGTTGAAAATCGAGGCTTTAGAGGGGTTTAGGGTGGGTTGTTAAATAGGGTTTAGGGTTTAGGGTTTAGGCAGAGCTTGACTTTTCGCCTGTCATGACTTTGATGCGGCTACGGCTCGGGGTTCTTTCAGTGAGGGCCCAGCGCAAAGGTCCTGGTTTGAGGGGCCCTGAACCCTAAACGCCTAAGCACTAAACCCTCGTCGCAATCCTAACCCCGAACCCCGAAGCCCGACCTATAGTCTCCATTGTAGTCCCTTTTTTGGTTAACTAGTTTTAAGGTTAGGGTTTAGGGTTTAGGGTTTAGGGTTTAGCGTTAAAGGAACTGCAATGGAGACTACAGGTTCAAACCCTACGGTTTAGGGTTTAGGTTTCAGGGTTTTGGGCTGAGGGTTTAGGGTTTAGGGAAACCCCCACCTGGCTCCCTTGTGTTGCTCCCTGCAGGGCACCGCACGCAAGAACTGACGTTGAACCTTGGCTGCTGTTTGGTAGGGTCGAAGGGCTGGAATGTAGGAGTCGGGTTACTATTTTGGGGGATCCTTATTCTAATTATCATATAATGGGCCCCAAAACCCTATAAACCCTGAAGCCCTATTCTAATTACTACGGCGGTAGGATCTAAAATTTCGGACTTGAGAGATCTGAAGCCTACTATAGGGGCTCTAGTAATTAGAGTAGGGTTTGGTGGTATCTTATACTAGAAGAACAGAAAGGAACCCCCCACAAGAATATAGGTAATTATTTTTGCCCCTATATTACGGGTTGATTTTACCTCTCTAGTTCTGGCTGAAGTCTATAAATGCAATGGGAACCTTGAGCAGCGGGGGGAGGGGGGGTATTCCCGATTGGGGATGCTTTTGGAAGCTATCGAAATTGGCCTTAAAGGCTTTGTGGCTCGGATTGATGACTTAGCTGCTGAGTTCATAAGCCCCNNTACACTTTCAGTTCTATAAGGGATCGTACAATCCCAAAAAGTGTAAAGTGTACTCACTCAGCTACTAAGATGAGTGTTCAGGCCTTAGCATCGACTTAGGACTTAAAGCTTAATCTATACTGAACTTAGACCCCTAGCAAAAATTATAATTTTAGCTGCTTCTTTGGGTTTATAGTAACCAAAGATTAAAAATTATTTCTAAGTACCCCTAAGTAATAAGCAAAAGCTAGGGTTTGCCCATGGCAGTCGCTGTTCGACCCACGGGGCCTGGGCAGCGCAGCCGCTACAGCTAAGACACTCCCCAAGGCCACCGACGTTTGGAATATAACATAACATGCTATACGGAAAAATGATAATATAACATACTATATGGTAACCTAAACTCTAAACCCTAAACCCTAAACCCTTAATATACTATGATTTGTTAGGATAATTTGGGGTCTGTTGGGATCTCAGCTTGCTGTCATGTCGGTCCCTGCGCTGGCATCTGGATGTCGTGCATGTGGGTAGTTCTCGGAACTGGGGCCCCTTTTTAGGTCCCAATTGGTACGGCACCCTCACATAGAAAGAACTACCAATGTGGCTGCTGGCGTAGGACAGATGGGTTGGGGTTGCAGGAACGAAAGCCAACATTACCAGAAGGTGCAGAGCGTGCTTCGTGGATGTCCTGTGCCGAAAACCGAGGTCGATGCGCTCTGCACAATAGGGTTTAGGGTTTAGGGTTTAGGGTTTAGGGTTTAGGGTTTAGGGTTTAGGGTTTAGGGTATCGGACGGAACAGATGGAGGGTGCTCAGCCTCAAACCTCCTGAATGGGGGCCTGCATGGAAATGGTTGATTTATTAATGGACGCTTGTTTGGGGAGCAAAGCCTAGCGTGAAACTGACCCTATCCCCCAAACACCATAAACCCTAAACCTCAAAATCCTAAACCCTATCCCCGAAACAACAAGTCACAAAGTTTCTCAATCAGACCCGCACCACGCAGGGTTGTAGTAGCCCTTGCGGCATTTTCTGCACTGCGTGGCGTTGCCCTCCCATCCTGGAAGTGAATGTCTCGGGCTTGGGGCTATATACTTAGGGTTTGAGGGTTTTGGGTTTAGGGGTTCAGGGCTTACGGTTACTGTCCAAATATATTGCTCATGTTCAGAACGATGCTATATCATGGTCCACATTATAGGGTTCCTGATTATGATACCCCCCGCCCAGCCGAACCCCAGTCTCAGTACTCAACCTAAACCCTAAATCCTAAACCCTAAACCCTGAACCCTAAACCCTACATCCTAAAACCTACACCCTAAACCCTAAACCCTAAATCCTAAACCCTAAATCCTAAACCCTACACCCTGAACCCTAAACCCTAAACCCTACATCCTACACCCTGAACCCTAAATCCTAAACCCTAAATCCT